TTTTGCTTTGTATGCCGGGGGCGGGCGGGAGATTCCTGATTGGTTGTTGGTCGCCTTGGGCGCGAGAAATCGCCAAGCCTCAGACACGCCCAGCTTCAAGATTTGTTGATGCCTGTAGTGTAGACGGGCCGTTAAGCTTTAGATCTTAATAAGTTTGTGAGCCGTTTTGCTGAACAAGATGGTAATCGCCGCATTCAGCTGTTATGCCAACTTGATGCTCTGCTTGACTCGATGAGCATAAAAAACCTGTTAAAGATGATGACCCTTACGTGTGTAAATATNACTATTTTCCATATGTCATAAAATGGAGGATAAATTAATCATTGCCGTGGCAAGTGTCCCAGTCCTGTATGACTGCTCTCTGTTCACCTACCGGGACCTAAACCGGAGGAACCAGGCATGGAGGGAGGTGGCAGAGACAGTTGGTGAAACTGGTAGGTTTTCACCTGTTTGGGGAGTTTATATCCAGTTTACTTCGTTTTGACATTGAATGGACAGGCTTTGTATGCCGGGGGCGGGCGGGAGATTCCTGAGAGATTCCTGATTGGTTGTTGGTCGCCTTGGGCGCGTGAAATCGCCAAGCTTCAGACACACCCAGCATCAAGATTTTTTTATGCCTGTAGTGTAGACGGGCCGTTAGTTTCTACCGCTTTTCAGACATGTAATATGTATTGATATTGTGTATTGTATGTGTTAACTGTTCATTGTACTTGTACGTCTTCATTTTTCTTACCGTTTAAGTTTTTTATTTATTTTTTCAGACTTTTTTCATTGGGTTTTCAGACAAATAACAGACGGCAGTATACAGAGTATCACATTGGGCTTTAGGTGATACAAAAACAGGTAAGAAATACAAGATTAGAGAAGGAGAGTAAACAGCACCTGAATGGTCAAATAAAACAAAAAAGGCTATGAGCAAACAAAACAAACCCGATAGGTCACCTCTGACGCAGCGACCACACCGCGGCGTGCGTTGAAGCTTGCCGGTGGGCGTGTCTGAAGCTCGACCAACAACCAATCACATGAATCTCCCGCCCCGGACACACAAGCACGCGGTTTGATTGGCTCGGGAGATTCATGTGATTGGTTGTTGGTCGAGCTTCAGACACGCCCACCGGCAAGCTTCAACGCACGNAATATTGTTCACAAATCTGAAAAAATCTGTGATAGTGAGCACTTTTTCTTTGCCGAGATAATCCATCCCACCTCACAGGTGTGGCATATCAATATGCTGATTAGACAGCATGATTATTGCACAGGTGTGCCTTAGGCTGGCCACAATAAAAGGCTACTCTGAAACGTGCTTTTGCTTTATTGGGGGGGTCTGGGGGGGTCCGAAAACCAGTCAGTATCTGGTGTGAGGGTTAGGATTAGGGTTAGGGTTAGGGTAATGTTGTGAATCGAGTGGCCCATGGTGGTGGTGGGGTTATGGTATGGGCAGGCGTATGTTATGGACGATGAACACAGGCCACTCGATTCAGAACATTACCCTAACCCTAACNATGGATTATCTCGGCAAAGAAAAAGTGCTCACTATCACAGATTTTTTCAGATTTGTGAACAATATTTGAGAGAAACGGTTATTTTGTGTATATAGAAAATGTTTTAGATCTTTGAGTTCATCCCATGAAAAATGGGAGCAAAAACAAAAGTGTTGCGTTTATATTTTTGTTCAGTGTACATACTGGGATAATGAGGCACTTGATTGCACACAGGTGAACCTTATTTAAATAATGTTGGGCTAAATAGCAAAGGGGGTGAATACATATGCACAAACCACTTTTATTTATTTTTTTATGTTTTAAAACATGCTCTTTTATTCACCTCACCAATTTTGACTGACTTTGTGTGGGGGTCTTGCCATAAAATCCCCCCAAAAATATTATATTATTCTTTGCAAGAAAATAGGAAAAATGTCAAGGGGGGGTGAATACTTTTGCATGGCACTGTATACTCTCGCATGTTATATACTCTCACATGTGATTTATTGCAGTAATCCATATTGAAAGCCAGAGAAAGATAAATAATTCAATTCATTGTTCTACAATAGTTGACAAGTTCTTTAAAATGGAGTAGGGAAAACGTTGGTAATTCTCTTACTGCCGTGAGTTAGATGTGCAGATTGATTCCTCTCCCATGTTTGTACAGTCAATTTAAAAGCCCAGACAGCAGCCGGTTAGCTTAGCTTAGCATACAGACAGGAAACAGGAAGAAACAAGCCTGGCTCTATCCAAAGGTAATCCATCTAAGAGCACTTTTAAAGTTTGTCTAATCTAAGTTCAAAAACAACAAGTGTAGGTTTGACTGGGTTGATTATTTATTGCCTAGGAGCAGTGACTTCAGGAGTCTCCACTGGTCACAAAGACAATATTTATGTTACACTTTTGTACTCTACTCAAATGTATTGATTTCAATGTTGCTGGTTTGTCCCCCCAGTCGACAAAGCCCCGGCTGACCGTCCCCTGCTGCTCCATGGTGGATGTGAGGAGCACCACGGCGCTGGAGGTCCCCGACAAGGAGAACACCTTCCTGCTGCAGGTGACCACTGTCTTTATACAGCTTCACTTTGTGTTTTGAAATGCTTTGTATTGTAATTTGTTTGTGGTTTTTGCAAGCAGTTTTTCTTTACTATTCTTTGCTATGACTTGCTGATATTATTATTATATGTTCCTGAATCTCTGAAAGGTTTCCTGTGTAAAGGACAATTAAACAAATACACCACTGAGAAAAGAGTAAATATTGATAAGGAGCTGAAGTTAAAAAGATATCTTCAATTCAGAGGCGTTATTGTCATATGAACAATAGCTACACACTGTACAGTATAATAATCAACAGTTTTGTAATATTCTAAAAATATACGGATATATGTTTCAAAACCCTTTGTAAGTGATGCTGGCCCACATATGAATACATCTCTTTATGTTGCACCTCTCAGCTGGAGGGCACGGCGCAGTACGTGATTGAGACTCGCGACGCTGTGCAGATGAGAGCCTGGCTCAGTGACATCAGGAACGGCATCTGTCTCAGGTAATGACATAATGAAAGAACAAGGTCACCTCAAAGTAAGGTACGGACAACATGATTGAACTGTCTGCCTCCCACAGTGAACAGGAGGATGCCGAAGGTGTGAGTGTTGGGCCGCTGGACATCAGTGGGATGCCTGATATTGCCGACCGTCTCTCACAAAGTACGTCTAAAGGTGTGTGTGTGTGTGTGTGTGTGTGTGTGTGTGTGTGTGTGTGTGTGTGTGTGTGTGTGTGTGTGTGTGTGTGTGCATGTTTCAGACTCACAAAGCACTCGGCAGCGTCGTCCATGATGCCCAGCTGAAAGCGTTGTTCGTCTTGGAAAGTCTTGGCCAGAGCGCTCCGCAGTGCATCTGATGGAAGTACACGCTCACTGCTGAACTGGAACTGAGCAAAGATACTCTGAAAACATACATTCACACAACACACACACACATATATAGAAACCCATTACATCTTTATTTCCCTGCTGCAGAGATACAATGTGCCATAAATGCATTTCCAGGAATACATTGTTGGAGTTGAAACGTACAGTGGGTGTGTCAATGCACACATGAATATTTACTTCTCTCATACTGCAACAGATCTCTCTGAATACATTTTAAATTGGAAGTGCTGTTCTCTCAACTGACCCATAAAACAGATCCTAGTTGTCAACTTGTCAGGGCACAACAAACCCCGACCGGATTCAAACCAACGCCACAGCTGGCCTCGATATCAGACCGTATCAATAATAGATGGTGTTTGTAGAGCGCTTTTCCTCCGACCAAAACAGTTTTCGAAGCGCTTTGCAGCAATAAAATAGAAACCGAAGCAAACTGTTGCAGGGGGCTCGGACAGAAAGCTAGGCCACTGAAGTGTGTTTTGAGGGCAGAGCCTCAACAGATCCGAGAAAATAGTGTACAGCCAGTCTGTGTTTCCTGCTCTGCCCTAATACTGCTGCTTCATTTGCATTTGTAGGAACAAGCGATATTACAATTATCGCTGCCAAGGATGTTCTTTTTTATCCTTTTTGTTTTTCCTGTTAGTTAATCAAAAAACCACATAACGCGTATGTTAGTTCAGTCAAGAAGGACTTTGAACCGCACTAATTGGTGGTTGGAGTGGCTAAATCCACCATGTGCTCATGTTTTAACCATTTCACATTGAAGCTCCTGCTTCCATGTGACCCATTATAATGGAGTCATGTCAGTAACACCATCTCTAGTGAAATACAATGGCTTCATTACTCATACACCCACTATGTTTTCTAATGCACTCAATCAACAGTCGTAAAACATTATCGATGTGACTTCTAAGTAAGTGCTTTATTGATGCTTTTTATTGTAAAAGAGGTTAACTGATAGAGCTTGAAATACATTATGCGTCCTTGTACACACCCAAACAATCAACTGTAGTAAGGACTCACAGTAAGCTTTAATGGTGCATGGGTCAAGTGAAGTAAAGTACATATTGATGGATTTACAGTTTCATTTACAGATGATAATGCATGTTTCATTGAGGAGTAAAGTGTAATACATTTCCATGCATTTAAAATAATCTATGGTGGATCAGAGGCGACTGTTATGTACGCCAAGATGCATTACATAGTAATCTCTTAAATCACATCACATTCCTCATAATGCATTATAAATGTGGACTTTATAGAAAGTGTTGGCACAATGTCTACTGGAAATGGTTTGTCAGAGGTGAGAAGTTTTGGGTTTCTGTAAGTTTCTCAGATTTTGTCATTTGAATAAATTCTGAAGAGGTAAAACTATCCACAAAAAAGATCATGGGATGCTCCTGTGGCTTAAGGGGTTAAGACACGACAAACCATGAACAACATGGGAATAACTGTCCTAAACCTCAAAATCGAGAAGCGACTTTTTTGAAATGTTTTACTGAATGTATACAATTACATTTGGAACATCAACTATTAAAACAATGTATTGTAGTCATGCCTTTCATATTAAAAAGCCTTGTATTTTAAATGCATTGTTAAACATTTTTTTGCACAATTCATCCTTATACAAAAGGTATTATGTTCCTTCACAGGATTTAGAATTTCTCCTAAACAGCAAGAATTTGTATGTACTTTGATCTGGATTTGTTATTAAAATTGTAATTGTAATAATGTATTTTATAGAGTTGCTATATTGGAGGTTCGTGGTCTCTGAAGACTTTGAGGTTATCGTTGTTGTGGCAGTAGTTGCAGTAATAGCAAAAGTAAAATGAGGTTTAGTAGTACAAGAAGTACCAAACAACACAGTGTTAGAAATGACTCTGTCTGGCTGTGTGTGTAACTTTCGGCTGAGTCTGAACTAAAGAGACCTGCAGACGTCTAAATAGGGAGAGATAAAAGCATGTATAACTTCCTCCGAATTGCCAACGGACAAAAATGACCTAATTCTTTGTTGGTGAGAATTCTCAGCTGGAAAAAGCCGGGCGACTATTTTTGACCCAAACTGAAACAGCCCAAAACAGAAATAAACACGAGTCAGCCTGACATGTCGGAGCAGCAGATAGTGCTCTGCTGGCTTTATGTCACCACGGTGATTCAATCACTGGAGTGAAAAGCAGCAGGTGCTCGGTGTCCTGAAGGCTTACAAAAATGTTATTAAGGGACACCGCATATTCTAACAGTTCATCAGCACGGACTTGTGGTTTTTTGTATCCACACTGGTCCGTTTTAGTTGCAGTGTGAAATCTAGCACAGAGCTTTAGCAGAAAGTTAAATACATCTTGTAAATAAGCAAGAATGACTATTTATTTATTACACTTTGATTAGTGTAGCCTATTGACTACCTTTGGTGTTACCTGAAGTTACTGAGTAAATGCGCAGCGAGAGGGAATGTTCTTTTATGGATGTTTCAATACTTTTCTAACATTATAACATTTTAACTTTGTTAAATAATTTAAATCGACTAAAGCTAATATTTCTTAAGAAATCATCATGAAATATGATTCTGCAGAACAACCAGAGCGTGGTGTTTTTTATTCCACGCTTTCTCCTCTCTTTCCAAAACTTGATGCCTGCAGTTCCCGCCGGAGATGTACGCGTCTTATGCTAGTAGCGGCTAACGTAGCCTCAAACCGCTAAGATAAATTGTTGAGCAGCAGGCTGCAGCCGTCTGGTTAGCCCACTTATTTGCAACTCCACAAATATCACTCGTGATTTAGTAGCATAAATCCAACATAGGACGCAAATCTTTATCTTTTGCACATCCAACTATCTACCATGACCTCTCTACTATAGAATCCCCACAGAGACAGGTTAAAGCACCAGTTGTAACTGGGTCATTCTACAGAAAAGGTGGAAGTGCTGTCACTTACTTTTGCAGACACCAAAATACATGACGTTGACCTAATACTCACATTCATTATATATGTTGAATAAATAGAGATTGTCTTTGCAATGGTACTAAATACAACATTAATAAAAAATGGTTTTATACGTAAATTGCAATTTATTTAAAATGCCAAGTTCAAGGAACTGCCTTGTCACTTTGATCATACATGGAAGTGGAGCCTATTAGTTTTAATTTAAAAGATTTTTTTTTTTTTTTTTCAATAAATAAATCTAATTTATATTTAAATTAAAACTAATAGGCTCCACTTCCATGTATGATCAAAGTGACAAGGCANAATAATTTATGTCAGCACCATTGTATAAATGGGTGGTCATAACATAACACAATTATTTTCGGGTGAAATGTTATTACGCAGTTTAATTAAACCTTTTATCCAAGATGTGGTTTAGATTCAGCTATTTTTTTCGGGTTATTTGAATGACATGATATGTATTGGTTGAAACTTTATATGGGAAGGAAAAAGGAGAATACTATTGTTAGACCCCGAGGACACAAAGAGATGCGGTGGTGGAGATTTGCGGAGGTAACCTGAGGAAACAAGAGTGGCAGTGTTTGTGTAATTGTAGTGATTACATTGTGAAGCGCGAAGATAACCGATCGTGAGTTGTGTAACATGCACTATCCGAATACCCCGCTCTTAGAGATTCGCCAAAAGACTTGGTTAGTGTCTAGTTGTCTCTACCTCCCCCCCTCTGATTCCACCCTCCTCTTCCTCCCCCCCATTCCGCCTGCCCAAATTCTCCACCCTCCCCTTACCTCAGCCCCTCTGACTTGTTCCTCCCCGTGTCCCTGTCCCCTTTCCCTTCCTTCTCCCCTTCCCCCTTGCGTCGTCCCCTCGTTCCTCTTCCCCCGCCCACTGCCTCTTTGTGTGCTCCCTTGTTGTTTGTTTTGTGTGGTTTTTGTTTGCTTGCTTTGTTGTTTTTTGTGGTTTTTGTTGTTTGTGTGTGGTGTTGTGTGTGTGTGTGTGGTGTGTTGGTGTGTGTGGTGTGTGGGTTGTGCCCCGTTGCCGAGTGGTGTCGTGTGTTGTTGTTACCCCGCTACGTGCTCATAGTCGTTCCGTCGTCGCGAAGTTACTCCCCTCCGACAATGCCTTTCATTCTTGTATTAACATGATGGCATAATGATCAGATTTATGGGCAAACTCCGCCCACATTAGATTTCCTTCAGTATAACTCCAGGACGGAACGTACTTCTAAGTGAGCAAGATTCTGTTCGCGATTCTAATCTAGAGGACATGTACCCCTAAGTCTCAGTACCGGTAGAGACTGTTTAATCGTAAGAGTCATCACAGTCTGGATATCTCGAGAACGTCGGTAATTTACCTGACCTGTTTTCCACAGACACTACACAAACCACTCTTTATGCTGAAGCCGTTAGTTATCTAGAAGTGGAGCAGAGCGGATTACATTTGTGACTTCGCTTACTGTAGGTAGTAGGTACTGTATAATTTCCAAGTAAAAGCTGTGTCTAACTACAAGGAGCGTAACTTAGTACTTGTGCGCCTAAGAGAAAGATAAAAGTGAAACAGCGAAGTGAAAGCGCGTCTAAATTCAGAGTAGTCATCAAGGTGGACCTCCTAATCTTTAATACCCTTTACCATCCAAATTGTTAGTGGATTTACTTCTGTGACTGTTTAACTCTCCCGTCCTTCGGTATCTGTTCTTTTTGGTGATTGAGTGTTAGGTTTCTGTGCACAAAATTGTTTGGTGTAAAGTGAACTTGAAGTGAGGGGTTTGATTTTATAACAGTGAAAAATTGTGTGACTCTGGGAAATCGCAATTAAAAAGTTTCGCTCCCATCAGGCCAACTGAAATTGTACACCCAGTTGTAAAATATAAAAGATATAAATTTTATTAAGTGTAAAGTCAAACCGAGTGTTTGTCAACAATTCAAAGACAAAAAACGAAACTGGGGTTGCGTTGAGTTGTTACTGTAGAGGATATCGATATGGACATATTTTTCCCACTTTTTAACGTGCATTTTTAGTTTTACTAGGCTGAAGGGCAACGCCAAATCCCAAGTGGAGGCAAACCTAAAAAACGGTGTAGA